GAGATGGAGAGCTGAAGGCAGGGCGTTGAGAGCAGCTGGGGAAGCCCCAGTGGTACACGAGCTCCCAGTACCCACGGGAAAGGCGGGAGCCAGGAACACCCTGATGCAACCACAGAAATATTTCCCTTGCTCTCCAGCCTGCACAGGAGAGCAGGCTGGAAGGAAAGTGCTCTTGGGGAGAGGGATGGATGCTCCAGAGGGATGAAGCCACATTGCACCCATGGGCAAAATGCCTCCAGCATCATAGGGATGAGCTCAGAAACCCGGGATGATKGGGAATGAGGAAGGGGTGACGGATGCTCCAGCAGAGAAGGGACACAGCAAAACCCCAAACCAGGAGCTGACGTTAGGCTGATGCAACTTGGGAGAGTGGGAAGTTCAATCAAGATATTCTCTGGCTGAAGAGGGATAAACACTGAAAAGCCCTTTGGGTTGCACAACCACCTTTGCCCAGCCCTGTGATAGAGGCWATTGAATAATACATGTGATTTTCTCCTTGGTGGGATGAGAGCTGAGCACGCAGGCAGGACACTGAGGGTGGGATGTGAGGGGTCATCCCCCATGGGAGGTCACATACACGGGTGTGGGAGACAACGTCCCCAATTCAGCCTCCCCCCCCAAAAAAAAATTGTTTACGCAGCACCCCGTGACTTTAATTATAGTTAAACGCAGGGTTGCGATATAAAGCAAGGTTATAATTTGTAGTCCGGGAGACACCTTGGGCAGGAGGACAACCTGAAGTGTCACCCAGCCAAAAAAGTGCCGGGCAGCGCCACGGCAATAAACTCYGGAACAAACTCCGAGGACACCAGCCTGCAACTGGGATTGCAGAGGATGGAGAAATGGAGAGGAAAACGAGCTGCTATGCTGAAAATCGCCTTGAAGACACCCGTGTTCTGCGGGGGCTTGAAAGCAAAAGTTCTCCGCGTTCCCAAGATCTCTGATAAACCCGGGTCAGAGAGTCAAAAGTTTGTTAAACCCACAAATATAACTTTCCCGAGTRGGAGGAACCTGTGCAACCCCAGGGCCGTGCGGGGCGAGGGCACCCGAGGAGGGGCACGCAGGGGGGAACCCGCCCCCGGCCAAAGCGCTCCGACAGCAAACCGCATCATCCTCATCCCGACAGCTCCGGGGGGCTCCCCTCCTTCTCCCGGGACCCCCGGCATCCCCTCGGTTTCGGAACAGCAGGCAGCTTGGCGGGACCTCCGGTAGCGGGGAGATCTCGGGGTCCATCTCCCGCTCCCGGGATTCCCGGCATTGCCTCGGAACAAGGGAGTGCCGGCAGCTTCGCGGGAYCCCCGCCGACTCCCCGGTGCCAGGATCCTCGACAGCTTCTCGGTGCCGAGAGTCCCAGTGAGAGATCCCGGGCAGCTCACCGGCGCCGRGCTCCCCGCTCCCGGGATCTGCCGCAGGCTCCCGGTGCCGGAATCCCCGGCACTTTCCCGAGACCGCGCCGTCTCTCCGATCCCGGGACCCCCGGTAGTTTCCCGGAACCCTGGGCTCCTCCCCGGTCTCGGGATCCCCGGTGTGATACCCCCGGCAGCTCCCCGCTCCCCCGGCGGCTCACGGAGCCAGAAGCCCCGGCAGCTCCCCGGTCCCCCCGCCGTCCCCCCGGCCCCGCGTCCCCCGTTCCCGGTGCCCCGGCACCTGCCCGCTCCCGAGCCCCGTTCCCCTGGTCCCTTACCTGCCCCAGGCTGATGTAGCCGTAGGCGGCGGCGAGGCGGGCGGCCTCGGCGGGGCCCC